ACCGAGGTAGTTAAAATCGTTCACTTCCTAGAAGCAGTAGTTTTCAAGTTCCACAGTTGGTCCGAGTCTACTGGACGTCTTGCGCGCTAATACCTTCAGCTTGGTCTTTTCGCCATTTTCTGCCACAGTCCCACTTTGGTAGACTCCATCATTATGTTTGGTTTCCAGAGTGCCATTTCTGTTCACATTTGCATCTCGTATGACCATTGGCAGCAGGATGTTGAACAGGTCACACGACAAACTTTCACCATGTCTGAATACTCGTTCGGTATTGAAGGGCTCCGAGGTGTCCTTTCCGACTTAAACTGCTGACATTGTACCAGTTAAAGTTATCGTGCATAGGCGTATTAATTTTGCAGGAATGCCGAACGTAGACATAGAACGTAGAATGCGGCTTTATAGTCGACGAATAGGTGGAATGTGCCGATGTATTTTTCGTGGTGGGTTTTCCAGTATCTGGTGCAGAGTAATAATCTGGTCGATGGTGGATTTGTCAAGCCTGAAGTCGCATTAGTTTGGTCCAATAATATCATTGATCATTGGCTTCAGTCGTTCACACATCACGCTGGATAGCACTTTATATGCAATGGGGAGGAGACTTATTCCTCTGTAGTTGGCACATATCGTCTTGTCTCCTTTTTTGTACATGGGACACAGGATGCTGAGGTTCCAATCATTGGACATGCATTCTTCTAGCCAAATTGTAAAAATGAGCTGGTGCATGCTCCTATTAGCATCTGACCACCGGTCTTGAATAGTTCGGCTGGTAATCCATCGGCACTTGCTGCTTTATTATTCTTCAGATCTCATCTTGGCTCGATGGTATACACTCTATACCGTCATCTCTTATTGGTTCTGGGGTATCTTCTTCACCGCCACTATTTGATACCAGAAACTTTTCAAAATGCTCCTTCCAGATCCTCAGCACGTTACCTGCATCTGTCACCAGGTTTCCATCTTCATATCTACAGGATGATGTGCCTGCGCCAAAGCCTTCGATTTGGTGTTTTACTCGTTGGAAAATTTTCCGGACTTCATTTTGACTTCTGTACATCTCGATTTTCTCACGCTCACGTTTTTCTTGTTCTTTCTTAATTTTTCTGAAAATACGTTTCTCCTCTCTCCTCTTTTCCCGATAATTCTCCATGCTACTGTCTGCAGTGTTGCCCTATACGCTGCGTTTTTCGGCATCGTAGCATTACGACACTCCTGATCGTACCACGTGTTTCTTGATGGTGGTTTTTGGTATACAAGTGTTGCTTTTGCAGCAGTCTGTAGGGATTATTATTATTATCGGGACAAGAAGTGCTTTCGTCAAGCAAGTGGGTAAGTTGAGCGGAGTATGCTTCTGCTATCTGTTGTGATTGCAGCTTATCGACATAGAGTTTCCGTGTTACATTAGATCGTGCCTTTGTTGCTACATTAAGAGGGGTACGAACCTTGTCTGCCACAATGTAATATTCCGAATCGATATTCGTTGCTCGTATCGATCGAACGTCTAAAACACTGGACGAAGGCCTACCGTCTATCATAACATGATCAATGTGATTTCTTGTTGCTTGAACAGGAGATATGCTTGATTCTGGTGCTGCTAACTACCCTGTTTTTTGCTGCCGCGAAGTCTGTCAATCGCATGCCGTTGATGTTTCTTCATGGAGACAACTCATCTAACCTTATATTCACTTTGGATACAACAGGTAAAAGTCTCAGACTACAGTTACAAGTAGAATGAATAATCGACGGTACATGTCGTATCATTTTAAAACCGAGAATTAGAAGCCAAACCAGAAAAAATACAGCTCTATAAGAGGCTACAACTTCTGGAATTCTAAAGAAGGAAGAAGTTTGTTCTTGTAATAAAAAATTAATCAGACCTTGGAGACTTCTATAAAAATCTATTCATCAACTGATGTATTTTTTACTGAGCTCTGAAGGAAGTTTCATTCTAGAAAATTTTTTCTCATTTTTTTAAACACTATTTTTTCCTATTGGATTATTGAGTACTAGTTTTCATATAACAAATTGCTTATCTTTTTGACGACTCGCTTAGTCCTTCGAGCACTATATTTATAAAAAAATAAATTAAATATCAAGACGATATATTTTTGATAATCTCATAATTAAAAACTTATCAAATATAAAAAAATACTATCAGCAATACAGGTTGCGTATGATTAGTGTCGGCACTCATACGCCCCAATGGTTAACCTCAAATTTTCTAATTTACAATTATACATTTCCATGTAGTTTCTAAACTTTTCACATCTTTGTATAGATAATATAAATAAGTTTTATTACACGCATAGGCACAAATGACAACAACAACAATATCTCATTACTAAAATTTGTTAATAAAATTCTATTACAAATTCCAAACAAATAAGCTTCTTACGATTCAAAACGATGTGTGACAATATTCATTATTAAAATTACTTGCCCAAAAATCGAATGGCCTTTTTATAACCTTCCCAAAAACTTTGTCTTTCGTCTTTGATGAGTATTCCTTTGACACATAATATCCTTTAAATGATCACATTACAAATGTAAAGACATTAGTGTAGTAATTTATGCTTCGTCTCGTCTTCTTCAACTACTGCTATCTTGGGTCAGGCAAACGTACAGATAAATAAATTTCTTACTGATGCTGATGCCATTGTCAAATGCCATCGGAAAGTTAAAAATGAAATGTTTGCATGTCACTGTCAGTTGGACTGGACATTTGTCTTTGTTACTACGAATGTCCTTTTTCCCCCACATTTTGAGAATTTATCTCTGTGTTCTGTTTGTCCTGACAAGACCATGAAGTAACTTAATCATGCATAATATGTCTACGGTTAGATGATTTTAATAGAAATTCATATTTGCTATATATCACTTCTTCTTTGGGTCGATGAAAATGCAATTAATTGCAGCACATTAATTACTTCTGATGTTTCATTGAAACAACAAAAACCCATGCACTTGAATTTCTAATTATTAATAAAGGACAAAAGGATATTTTCAATTTTAGATAAAGAGATACCTGAAATTTTGTAAAATCGGTTAGTTACTGGGAGAGAAATTTAAATTACTCCTAAGGATTAATTTGAAATGTATGATGAACATTAATATACACCCAGGTGGCGTATAATGTTTGTCAGTACTTATACGCAATTATGTACCACATGGAAATATATAAAAAAAATAGTTTTAAATGATAGATTTTTTTGTAGGTTTATTGATGAATAAATATATAGGTCCACTATAGGTCCACTGAAGATAGATTTCCTGTTATTAAAACCTTCTATAAGATGATCCATATAAAGAAAATATTTAAAAAATCATCTAAATAAGGTCTAGGTATAAAGAATTACATTAAGAACCCAATTCCTTTCAAAACAGTTCCAGAAAGCCTAAGAATATGAAAGACTGCAGGCAGAGATTCAATAGAATTCCAAAAGTTCTAGTAAAATAAAATAAATAGAAGACCCACAAAAGGCGGTGGATATTCTTCATGCATTCTCTAGATGTAAGACTTAATGTCTGGAGATGAAATTACAGTTTTGAGCAAAAAAACATAATAAATACACAGGTTTTTTTCTACTTAAAAGTTTTTTGTTTAAAGCAAATGATAAATTTATATTTGTGAATCACCTTGACGTATAAGTGTTTTCAATACTTATACGGATTACACAGTCCTCAGTGGTTTGTGTATTTTTTCCTATACTGAATAAAGACTCCAGTGGGGCCTGATCAAACTGTTTCCTATACGGATAAATAGTCTTCAGGGGCCAGAACAAATTATTTTCTATACTTAAACAAAGTTTTCAGCAATTTTTTCCTATACAGAAAAAAAGTCATCAGGTGGGCCTGAGCATTTTTGAACTACACGGAAAAATGTCCTCAGGCCCCCTCAACAATTTTTTTCTATACGGAAAAAGGTCCTCCGGGGGAGCCTGAACAATATACTTTAAAAAGACATCAGGGGGACTTGGGAACATTTTTCCATACGAAAAAAAAAATAGTCCGGGTGTACCACCTTGACATATGAGTGTTGTCAATACTTATACGTACTCTAGTCCTCTAATTAAATTATTTTTTTATACGAAAAATAGTCCTCAGTGGCTTGTGTAAAGGATAAAGACTCCAGTGAGTTCTGATAATTTTTTTTCGTATGCGGAAAAATAGCCCTAAGAGCAAATTATTTTCTATATGCAAAGAAAATACTCAGAATTTTTTTCCCATATGGAAAGATTCCTCAGGGAGGCCTGAGCAATTTCTTTCCTATACGAAAAAATATCCTCAGGAGGCTTGAGTTATTCTTTCCTATATGGAAAAAAGTCCTCTGGGGGAGCCTGAGAACAATGTCCTCAGGGAGGCCTGAGCAATTCTTTCCTATATGGAAAAATGTCCTCAGGCTAGCCTGATCAATTTTTTCCTATACGGAAAAATGTCCTCAGGCGATCCTGAACAATTTTTTCCTATACGGAAAAATGTCCTCCGGCGAGCCTGAGCAATTTTTTTCCAATACGGAAAAATGTCCTCCGGAGAGCCTGAGCATTTTTTCCTATACGAAAAAAGTCCTCAAAGGTGGCATTTTTTGCTATACAGGAAAAATTCATTAATGGCCGGAGCAAATGTTTTTCCATGCTGAAAAATGTCCTTAGGAGGGGCCTGAGAAAATTTTGTTCTATAGATAAAAGTCCTCTGGTGGCCAGAAAATTTTTTCTGTAGAAAAAAGTAAAAAGTCCTCTGGGGGTCAGCGGACTTTTGTTTCTATAGGAAAAAGTCATGGCGGACAAATTAATATTTGTAATAATTGAAAAAGCCATTTAGTTGCCAATGTAATTTTTTTCAATTTCAAAAAATTCCTTTGGTAGCCATTTTTTTCTATATTCCCGATATCGTAGAAAATATTAAATTGATTTCCATTAACCACCAGGACGTATACGTTTTATTGTTACTTATACGTACCCTGGTCTTCTAATTAAATCATTTTCAATTGGCATTTTCGTACTTACCCATTTTACATTCTTCACCAATTTTCGATTGATTAAAACATGATTCCTTATTGTGATAGACCTCATGACACCAGGCACAGGATAATGCAACAATTTCCTTTGAACCAAAAAGTTTGCCTTGCACAGCCTGCAAAAAAAAGAAAAATATTTTTTTCATAAAACTACAACAACAACAAAAGAAGATTGTAATTTAATAAGAAACTCGAACAAAAAAATCTGAAATTCAATATTTTTGCAGTATGTTTTCGAAATCAAAACCAGAAAAAGGATAATAAATAAAACAAAATGATTTTGTGTCCTTGTCAAGAATGAAATCTGACATGAGTTAACCACTACTGACATCAGTTGGATTCCAAAGATGATGACGATGACGACGTGATGGTGATGCGGATATGTGTGTCGGTGTGTGTACATGTGAGCGCAACAAAGTTGAACTGATTCGATACGTGATGCATCCATCCAATGGTAATAAAATAACAAGAAATGTCCTTCAGAGAATTGTATCACTTCACTATCTCTATCCTACACTTCCTCTCTCTCTCTATGAGATGAAACATAAACACTTCTGGGAGTTGACGACGAAAACTGCGTAAACAGTTTTCATTCGATTTTTTCTTGGTTTGTGTGAAAACCACTTGTGAAATCCCAGACAAAATGTGCGGGTGTGAACCCCAGTTATTGTGATTTGAGTGCGTAAGTATTTCGAAATCTTTGTAAAATGATTACAGACACACTCCCACCAATACTGAGATATATCTTCTATTTATACATTGTATTGTGATAAAATTCTGATGTAAAATAACAACTTTATGATGATTTTATTTTATGAGTGTAAGGAGTGAAGAATACAATTCATGCATCATTCATTGTTGGACATATCTAAGAAGGATTCATTTTCTTGATAGAGTGCTATAAATTTTATGAAGTTGCAGATGAAAAACGAATACTTCTTGTCTTTAGTCTTAATCCACTAATAAAATATTATTACAATCTTATTTGAGAGCATATCGTATACTTAATGGAATTGCGACAATGTGTAATAATCATACGTCACAATGTCAACTACCATTATTATGATTACTAATACGCATCGTTGTATTTGTTGTTGTAATATAAAAGGAACAAATTTACTCAGTCCTAATTTTTTCCTATAGAAAACCTGAGCAAAAATTTTCCCATAGATAAAAGTTTTCAACACAGGAAGCTCAGGAGGCTTGAGCAATTTTTTTTTTATAGAAAAAAGACTTTAAGAGGCCTGAGCAATTTTTTTTCTATAGAAAAAAGTCCTCTGGAGGCCTGAGCAATTTTTTCTTATTGAAAAAAGTCCTCAGGAGGCCTGAGCAATTTTTTTCTTATAGAAAAAAGTCCTCAGGAGGCCTGAGCAATTTTTTTTATAGAAAAAAGTCCTCATGAGGCCTGAGCAAAAAAAAAAAAAGTCCTCAGGAGGCCTGAGAAGATTTTTTGCCTATAGAAAAAAGTCCTCAGGAGGCCTGAGAAGATTTTTTGCCTATAGAAAAAAGTCCTCAGATGGCCTGAGTAAAGTCTTCTCTAGCAAAAAGCCAGATTTTTTTCCTATAGAAAAAGTCCTTAGGAGGCCTGAACAATTTTTTTTCCTATAGAAAAAAGTCCTCAGGTGGCCTGAGAAAATTTTTTCCTATAGAAGAAAGTACTCAGGTGGCCTGAGCAAATTTTTTTCCTATAGAAAAAGTCCACAAGTGGACTGAGCAATTTTTTTCTATAGAAAAAAGTCCTCAGGTGGCTTGAGCAAATGTTTTCTTATAGAAAAAAGTCCTCAGGTGGCCTGAGCAATGTTTTCCTATAGAAAAAAGTCCTCAGGTGGCCTGAGCAAATTTTTTCCTATAGAAAAAAGTCCTCAGGTGGCCTGAGAAAATTTTTTCCTATAGAAAAAAGTACTCAGGTGGCCTGAGCAAATTTTTTTCCTATAGAAAAAGTCCACAAGTGGACTGAGCAATTTTTTTCTATAGAAAAAAGTCCTCAGGTGGCTTGAGCAAATGTTTTCCTATAGAAAAAAGTCCTCAGGTGACCTGAGCAATGTTTTCCTATAGAAAAAAGTCCTCAGGTGACCTGAGCAATGTTTTCCTATAGAAAAAAGTCCTCAGGTGGCCTGAGCAATGTTTTCCTATAGAAAAAAGTCCTCAGGTGGCCTGAGCAATTTTTTTCCTATAGAAGAAAGTCTTCACGAGGTCTGAGAAATTTTTTCCTATAGAAAAGGCTTGAGCAAATGTTTCCTATAGCAAAGTCTCAGGTATAGACAAATGTCCTCAATGAGAGTCCTCTGAGGTCCAGAGCAATTTCCTGTATAGAAATAAAGTCATCAGGAGGCCAGAGATAATTTTTTCTATAAAAAAAGCCTTTAAGGCCAGAAACATTTTTGTAAACTTCTGGGCTAAGCATTTTGTCTTTTTTTTACAAAAAGTCATAAACGGACCTGGCCTATTTTTAATAGAAAAATATTAGTCCTCAGTGATCTGAGTAATTCTTTACAAAACAAATTTAAAAATATTCAGAGCGTATTAGTATCGTCACTACTCATACGTCACCAGGGCAACATTGTTTTCCTTTTATTATTCCAGCATTTGTAAACAAAAAATCCCAGCTGCATTTAATTGCATCAGCATTTTAGAAGACTGACCAAACGGACTTAAGTAAATCTCTAGAAAATATTCATAAATGAATTGTGTTCAAACGATAATAATCCCAACTATAAATTAGTTTCTTAATCACAATGCGAATACATTGCATTGAGATTGGGGAATACTCAAGGAAACCAGCAACATGCCAACAGAAATGGAATGGACTACGTACTTAAAATTTACTTAAAGGAAATATACACATGAATATATTTCTTAGATGGAGAGAAGAGGATGAAGTAGAAGTAGAGGAAGGATCATTCTCCTCCAATTGACATTCATAGTTATTCCGCAAACACACCCGCACACCGACACATACATATGTTCAAGAAGCTAACTTAAGTCAATATCTTGTGTGATGTCATTTGCTCCCCTCCATATCATTTGCAGAATGTGCATCCTGCACACATCTTGAAGTTTATACGCCAAGGATTTAATCTATGGATGTTGTGCACTATTTAGCTACTATTGGTACTACTACTGCTGTTGAGGATAATAATCCTTAGTCTATGGTGATTATTTTTGGACGATACACCAAATTGAAATACTTATCAGTGAAATACAAGATCCACGCGGAATGTATGCGAACAATTAGAATCAATGGTTGAATACTGAAAAGGATACGGTATTAAGTATGAGGAGATATTTAGTCTTCAAAGATTTTCTTCTATAGAAAAATGATCGGTGACTGGGGACATTTTCGATACATAAATAAATAAGAAAAGAAAAATTTCCGTAGAAGACAACTATTTCAATTACCTGCGGATTTGTTCTATAGAAAATGTTGTGTTCTAAGTGATTTAAAAATATTTTTCAATTACCTGCGGATTTTTTCTATAGAAAGAGTTGTTTTCAATACTAATACGTCTCCATATACAAGATACATAAACGCTTATTTTGAAGCAAACCGTTTTTCGAATTAAAAAATAACTTTCAAAAAACGTTCCGTATATTTTCTTTCATTTTTTTAATTTTTTAAAGAAAAAAATGAAAATGTTTCACTTTCGATCTCTCCTTTCCATATTAACATCGAAATCAATTTTCCAAATACATACAACATTCAACATCAACAAATTCAACATCAGCAGCATTTACCATCGTATTTTCCAACATTTAAAGTTTTACAAATACCCACAAATCCCCTTATTTACGACATTTGCGCTTCGATTACAGTGCACACCCCGCGACCCAATATCGTATACGAGTTAATGTGAGTGCAGCAGGTACATGATTTTAGTGGCATTTACCAATGCTCCAAGGATTTCACACTTTCCAGTTTCCAACTCAAAGAATGACAACAAAAACGATGAAGAAAAATACGACAAGAAAACTGCAGCGTTCTCTTTTCAAATTCCAGTTTCATCTCATTTTGCGGTAAAAACTATAAAAAGTGCTTACTTAGTGAATGTTTGGTTTGAGTTCGAACTTTCCTGCTGCATGAGGAAGAGAAGTTGTTGGAGGATTGCACAAGAAACTAGGATTTTGTCATTTCGTACTTTTTTCTATTTGAATTGCCATTAAGTTTTCATTGAGATTTTTATATATTTTCATGACAGTTTTTCTTTTTTGCTTCTCACATTCCGGATTCTAGAGCAAGGATGTTATGGTTTTGCTTTGGTTAACGATACTTATGAGAATTCGATATAAAAAACGGGAATTTTAAAATAACTTAGAAATTAGTTTTCAAGAGTGAGAAGAGCTTAAAATATCTAATAAATCCCAGATATATTTCACAAGGGGGATTTAAAGGTTCAAAAACCTTTACGGGATATAAGAAAAATTAATTTATTAAAAAAAATCCCAAAACTTAGTTCAATTTTTTAACGAAATGAAGTCCTAATTTTTTCCCAAATTCTCGGAGCTCTTTTTTTTACAAAAACAAAGTCCTCAGTTGACTGAAAAATTTCTTCTACAGAGAAGTGTGCTCAGAAAATGTTGGATTGTAGAAAATAAGTCCTCTGCATTCACAGTTTGAGAAATCAGAGCAGTTTCTTCCAATGTAAATGAAAATCTATTTCTACCTGGACGTATAAGTGATGTCCACACATATACGTACCATTGGTCTTCTGATAAAATTACTTTAAATTTGCAGTTTTGTCATCAATATGAAAAAAGTCCTCCGTGGATTGAACACATTTTTACTTTTTCTATACAAAAAATCCTCCGAAAATTTGGTCTACAGAAAATAGTCCTTATGTGTGGTCTGAACAATTTTTTATATATACAAAGTCCTTTGAAATGTTTTTCTATACAATTCTCAGGTGTGCCAGAGCTACTTTTTCTAAGGAAAAAGTCTTCGGAGGGCCTGAGCATATTTTTCTACATAGAAATCTGTCCTCACGGGGGACTGAACCATTTTTTTCAATAGAAATCTAGTCCTCAGGTGGGCCTGATCAATTCTTTTCCTAAAGAAAAAAGTCCTCAGGTGGGCCTGAGACATTTTTTCCTAAAGAAAAAAGTCCTCAGGTGGGCCTGAGACATTTTTTCCTAAAGAAAAAAGTCCTCAGGTGGGCCTGAGCAATTTTTTCCTATTGAAAAAAATTCTTAGGTGGGCCTGAGCAATTTTTTTCCTATAGAAAAAAGTCCTTAGGTGGGCCTGAGCAATTTTTTTCCTATAGAAAAAAGTCCTCTGGTGGGCCTGAGCAATTTTTTTCCTATAGAAAAAAGTCCTCAGGTGGGCCTGAGCAATTTTTTCCTATAGAAAAAAAGTCCTCAGGTGGGCCTGAGCAATTTTTTCCTATAGAAAAAAGTCCTCAGGTGGGCCTGAGCAATTTTTTTCAATAGAAAAAAGTCATCAGGTGGGCCTGAGCAATTTTTTTCAATAGAAAAAAGTCCTCAGGTGGACCTGAGCAATCTTTTCTATAGAAAAAAATCATCAGGTGGGCCTAATAATTTTTTTTCTATACAAAAAAAGTCCACAGGTGGGCCTAAGCAATTTTTTTCTATACAAAAAAGTCCACAGGTGGGCCTAAGCAATTTTTTTCTATAGAAAAAAAGTCCTCAGGTGGGTCTGAGCAATTTTTTTCTATAGAAAAAAAGTCCTCAAAAGACTGTGCAATTTTTTTATACAAAAAAGTCCACCAGTGGGCCTGAGTAATTTTTTTCTATAGAAAAAAGTCCTCATGTGGGCCTGAGCAATTTTTTCTATAGAAAAAAGTCCTCAGGTGGGCCTGAGCAATTTTTTTCTATAGAAAAAAGTCCTCAGGTGGGCCTGAGCAATTTTTTTCTATAGAAAAAAGTCCTCAGGTGGGCCTGAGCAATTTTTTCCTATAGAAGAAAGTTTTCAAGGGCCTAAAAAAATACTCAGCGGAGACAGAGCAATTTTTTTCTTTAGAAAAATGTCCTCAAGGAGGCCTGAGCAAACTTTTTTCTATAAAAAGTTCTCAGGGAATCCCACGCAAATTTTTTTTATAGAAAAAGTCCTCAGGTGGACCTAATCATTTTTCCCTGTAAACAAATCACCCCTTTCATCAAAACCAAGTGGGAGCATTGTTTAGTTTTTCTGTTGAAATTTGCATTTTCATCCTCTTCTGTTCTCTTCCAATTCTCCTTCATAGTTTATTGATTTCTACTAAAAAAAACACCAAGTGTGCCATCAAAAGAAACTAATGTTTTTGTTTTGCAACAACAAAGAAGAAATGTAAACATGAATGTGTCAAAGAGGAACCAACAACCTCCCTCCTTTACCTTGCCCAACAAGAAAGAAAGCGTTATTTTTAGCACAATAGTTTGACGGATAAGTATGCTAACATACCGGCTGACAGACACACGGTCTGTATGACATTCACACATACGTCTCGCCAAGTATTTGTGAAGTGGTGATAAAAAAACAACATTTGACTAAAAATAGAATCCATCGTCCAATGGGTCAAAATAACCCAACAAAACATTTTGTGTGAGGTAGGTTGTTTTGGGGGTTGATGTCTCGACTAGTGTTAGCACATGTGTGTGATATATGTATGTGTATGGTTGCTTGTGTGCTTGTCTACCGTGGCGGTGTGGTTGTTTGTGTGTGGCCCATTAGCTCAGTTGGTTAGAGCGTCGTGCTAATAACGCGAAGGTCGCGGGTTCGATCCCCTCATGGGCCATATAATATAAATGATGTAATTTTTTTGATATGGTATTTTAATTTTTTCCCTTTTTAAGGAAAAAAATTAAATCAATTCAAAAAATATTTTATATTAAAACAAAATTTAAAAAATTTTGAATTGTCTTGAAAAAAAATCATTAATTTTTAACCTTCTTCTTTTGATTTCGAAAACATTTTCCTTAAGCAAATGAAATTGAAAAAATCATTTTGAAAATCACTTACCTTTCCACACTGTTTACATTTGCCCTTCTCCATTTTGCGATGCACCCAATGATGATGGGTCACCGATTGTTCCCTGTATTGTCGTACACCGACATCCCGATACGTTGGCTTACAAGCTAAGTTAGTCTTTTCATTAACAAATGGAATGCAATTTTGATGCGCAATTAATTGGCATGCCGAGCACTTCATGCGTTGTCCACTTTTCTGCAAAAGACGAAAAAGAAATATTGAAAAATGTGTAATTAGTTCAAAAATTGAATTAAGAAAATTATAAAAATTAAATAAAATTAAAAAAATCCCCAAGGAGTTAAAAAAATATTTTTTAAAAGATCCACGCCTAGCAAAAAATATTTTTTAAAAGATCCACGCCTTGCAAAGGAGTTGAACAATTTTTTTTAAAAAGTGCACGCCTTGTAATGGAGTTGATTTTTTTTTAAGTTCACGCCTTGTAAAGGACTTGAAAACCCACGCCTGGTAAAGGACCCCTTGTAAAGGAGTTGAAAAAAATCCACGCCTTAAAGGACTTGAAAACCCACGCCTGGTAAAGGACCTCTTGTAAAGGACTTAAAAATCCACGCATGGTAAAGGACTTGAAAATCCACGCCTTGGATGGTCCTTGAAAAAATATTCCTTTCAACAATCCACGCCTTGGATGGTCCTTGAAAAAATATTCCTTTCAACAATCCACGCCTTAAATGGTCCTTTAAAAAATATTCTTTAAAGAAATGGTCCTTTAAAAAATATTCTTTAAAGAAATGGTCCTTGAAAAAAAATTCTTTAAAAAAATCCCCGCCTAAAATGGTTCTTGAAAAAAATTCTTTAAAAACCCACGCCTAAAATGGTTCTTTAAAAAATCCCCGCCTAAAATGGTTCTTGAAAAAAATTATTTAAAAAATCCCCGCCTAAAATGGTTCTTGAAATAAAATTATTTAAAAAATCCCCGCCTAAAATGGTTCTTGAAAAAAATTATTTAAAAAATCCCCGCCTAAAATGGTTCTTGAAAAAAATTCTTTAAAAACCCCACGCCTAAAATGGTTCTTGAAAAAAATTATTTAAAAAATCCCCGCCTAAAATGGTTCTTGAAAAAAATTATTTAAAAAATCCCCGCCTAAAATGGTTCTTGAAAAAAATTATTTAAAAAATCCCCGCCTAAAATGGTTCTTGAAAAAAATTCTTTAAAAAATCCACGCCTTGTAAAGCCTTTCAAAAAATATTCTTTAAAAAATCCACGCCTTGTAAAGCCTTTCAAAAAATATTCTTTAAAAAATCCACGCCTTGTAAAGCCTTTCAAAAAATATTCTTTAAAAAATCCACGCCTTGTAAAGCCTTTCAAAAAATATTCTTTAAAAAATCCACGCCTTGTAAAGCCTTTCAAAAAATATTCTTTAAAAAATCCACGCCTTGTAAAGCCTTTCAAAAAATATTCTTTAAAAAATCCACGCCTTGTAAAGCCTTTCAAAAAATATTCTTTAAAAAATCCACGCCTTGTAAAGCCTTTCAAAAAATATTCTTTAAAAAATCCACGCCTTGTAAAGCCTTTCAAAAAATATTCTTTAAAAAATCCACGCCTTGTAAAGCCTTTCAAAAAATATTCTTTAAAAATCCACGCCTTGTAAAGCCTTTCAAAAAATATTCTTTAAAAGTCCACGCCTTGTAAAGCCTTTCAAAAAATATTCTTTAAAAATCCACGCCTTGTAAAGCCTTTCAAAAAATATTCTTTAAAAAATCCACGCCTTGTAAAGCCTTTCAAAAAATATTCTTTAAAAAATCCACGCCTTGTAAAGCCTTTCAAAAAATATTCTTTAAAAAATCCACGCCTTGTAAAGCCTTTCAAAAAATATTCTTTAAAAAATCCACGCCTTGTAAAGCCTTTCAAAAAATATTCTTTAAAAAATCCACGCCTTGTAAAGCCTTTCAAAAAATATTCTTTAAAAAATCCACGCCTTGTAAAGCCTTTCAAAAAATATTCTTTAAAAATCCACGCCTTGTAAAGCCTTTCAAAAAATATTCTTTAAAAGTCCACGCCTTGTAAAGCCTTTCAAAAAATATTCTTTAAAAATCCACGCCTTGTAAAGCCTTTCAAAAAATATTCTTTAAAAAATCCACGCCTTGTAAAGCCTTTCAAAAAATATTCTTTAAAAAATCCACGCCTTGTAAAGCCTTTCAAAAAATATTCTTTAAAAATCCACGCCTTGTACAGCCTTTCAAAAAATATTCTTTAAAAATTCTACGCCTAAAATGTCCCTTTGAAAAAATATTCTTTAAAATTGCTACGCCTGAAATGTCCCTTGAAAAAATATTCTTTAAAAAATCCACGACTTATAAATGACTGGAAAAATAGTTTTAAAAAATCCACGCGTTGTAAAGGACTTTAATAAAAAAATATTCTTTAAAAAATCCATGCTTTCTACAAAGCCTACTCAAAATTCATCCTCGTCATAATTTTGATTTTTTCTTTGTATTTATGACCATGTAATTCCAAAAATGCATAACATAATTATTACAAGGCATTTCGATAAGCAATTTCATATAATCTAAATATAAAATTTATAGCATCGATGCTAAATTTATAGGCATCTATAAAATCTAAATTTAAATATATGCGTGTAATAAAAAATCGATATTTAGCCAGGGAATTTCCATTAAATTTAAAAATATAAATTTTATGACTTGAGGACGTATGATTATTATTAATAGCATTAGCATTGAGTGCGTATACTTGTTGCTAAATTGAGAATACTCAATGTTAATGGTTATCGTGACGTATGATGAATAATAATTTGTTTGCAAAAAAATAAGATTAAATGTGGAGTCTTAAGTGGATTTAACTGCGACTTTTTATTCCCTTACACCATTGAATATCTACATAATATAAAATTAAAATTATTAACTGAAACATTTTTAAACAAATCCGAAACTTTTAAGGATTAATTATTGAAAGAAATTCCGAATTGCCAGACAGCGAGGCATTTGTTCAGATTACAAGGCGTTAAGTCTACAATTTTCTTTTGTTGACTGATTGATTGATTGATTTCATTTGTCATTTGTCTGCTGGTCAAATTGTTGTTATTGGTTTTTGAAAACACCATATTGAAGTGATGAGTAATTGTTGTGTTTCCCTCTCTTGCGGTCTTTAAGATCAACAATATCAATTATCAGACATTGTTTTTGGTGTGTGGTATTTATCGATATTAATGAATTCTTAAATCATTTTCGAAAACAAAAATATTAAAAAATGAAAATATTTATTTATGGTCCATCAAATTGTGGATTGACAAGTTCAGAGACCATTCATGATTTGTGATTCATAAGAAAAAATAGGAATTTTTGAAATATTTAAGGTATCTCAAAAGAATATTTTTTTCAAGAACTCTACAAGGCATGGATTTCTAAAGAATATTTTTTCAAGGACTCTTTAAGGCGTGGATTTTTTAATAAATATTTTTTAAGGGCTCTACAAGGCGTTTATTTTTTAATAAATATTTTTTAAGGGCTCTACAAGGCGTTGTCAGCGTATTATAGTTTTGTGCAGCCCCAAAAATTTGTAGCGCCGCGAAATATTGGTCCTAGACCCACCTTTAGGTATACCGATCGTCATATCTCGACTAGTTGAGTCGATCTAGACATGTGTGTCCGTCCGTCCGTCTGTCCATTATAATTTGTAAACACGATACAAATCAAATGGACCCTGACTTTTGTGTGAAAAATGACAAAATTTGTATTCTATGGCGTATATATTTACTCCTGAAGGACATTGAGCCGTGAAGTTGATAGTATATTCAAGAGGAGTGGTTGGCCTTTAAATTGATACCAATCATATTGTCGTATGTACTTGGATGTGGGAGTTACACGTAAATTTATTTACAGGTGCTTACGTATTCAGATATTTGAAATGTTTCATGAGGTTCCAGTTATGGTCAAGTACAACACCTATATTTTTCGGTGATGATCAGATAATAATATTCGGATGAAGTGGACCGAAAACTTATTTTTTGTGTTTTTTTTTTTCGATTCAATCTATAATTATAAGCCGAACATCACAACACAACAGGGAATCTCTATAAGTAATTAGAAGGACTTTACTGAATATTAGTAATATTCGGAAAATATGTCAATGTAAGGAAATGGTCCCGTTGACCTCTAATCGGCCAAGAGGGTGCAACCATCACGAGATATTGCCCAGGCTCGGAATAAAAATCCACAGATAGTTAGAGTTCCGTGGTAGTTGCGTAGGGTATCGTATGGTCGGCTCCGTCCGACTATACTGCTCCGCTTACTGGTTTTGTTTTATCTTGTAATGAAATACTTACAATGCATTCATCATTGAGGCAGCATAGATCACCCGATACGGAGGTTGGCTTCCAATAATGTTCTCCCTGGATGGCATTTTCCGTCCAATCGGGTACAATGCGTATGGGTCTTCGGGTACCGAGGGATGGACCAGTTCTTCTGCAAAGACGAAACAAAATAAAATTATACTTTATTAATAAAATACTCTGAAGAGAAGAGATGAGTTTAAATTTTAATTGTATACAGTTTAAAACCATGGCGTATAAGTCATGTCATTACTTATACGACACCTATAATTTGTATTTATATTTCAAATTTTAGTAAATTTAAAATTTTGTAAAATTTTGTCGTATTTTAATTATTTTGAACCACTGTCAAAGTCAGTAAATTTTACATTTCTGCAATTGTATATTTATAATTTTTGTAGGTATATATGTATTTGAAATTTCTAGGAATATGTTACAAAAATGTTGGTTTTTATTGCATATTTATGTATGTACTAAAAATAAACCTGTCACAGCACAAGAAAAGTCACTTGTTTGTATTCTTATAGCCTCATTTTATAACATATATCCCCATCCTATTATAGCTTATAATATATAAATCTGATTCAAAAAACATTATTATTTTGTGTTTTTCTAAGAATAACCACAGAAACCTGAAAAGGACAATGCTAACGATTTCCATGAACATAACACAAAAAATAACTTTATATCCGATTATCCATGTAGGCATATAAGAATACAAAATAACAAAAAAAAAAAAAAAAAAAAAACAGAGAAAAATAAACATATATTTACAAATAAATGTAATGTTGTGTTCGATTTTCATTTTGTAAAAGAGGATGCCTAATTTGTTATGCCTGGATTTTTTTATATTGCCTGAATTTTTAAAAGAATATTTTTTATTTGAAGGACTCTGGATTTTGAAAAATTAAAATGAGGCGTGAATATTTGAAATAATATTTCTCAAGACTATAGGGAGACGTAGATATTTAAAAGAATATTTTTAAGGGCTATATGGGTTTTTAAGGAATATTTTTCCATGATATTTTGCCACGATTTTTAAAAGAATATTTTTTCAAGAAATCTTAACGGCGTAGATTTCTAAATGAATATTTGTCCAGAGACTCTACAACGCGAGGATTTTTAAAAGAATATTTTTTCAAGCTTTCTACAGGGCGAGGATTTAAAAAAAAAATATTTTTTAAAGGACTCTACAAGCCGAGGATTTCTAAATGGATATTTTTCAACGACTCTGCAAAGCGTGAATTTTTTTCTAGTATTCTACAAGGCGAAGATTTTTAAAAGAATATTTTACAAAGGACACTACGAACAGAGGATTTTTAAGGGGACCCCACACATTCTCGGGGTCAAAAATTATATAATTCGAATCTACGCTAATTAAAGAATGTCCCTACAAATTTGCAAGTGAAAATCTCAAGAACTCTTGAAGATATAGCCGATTTATTGTGTCAGCATCATGTGACGGCTGAAGGGCTTCTCAAACTTTAAACGCGTTTTTCTCTAAACATTTTTTTTTGTGAATGGCGGGCACGACAACTCAAAAACTATTAACCCAATCGATTGCAAATTTTTACACGTTTCTCTGTGAGTGTATAACTATCGTATGAACTAGGATAATGCCAATCGGTGAAGATCTTCCTTATTTTTTATCTTGGTAAAAAATCGGCGATTTTCCAAAAAATATTTTTTCAAAGGTCTACCATTTTCAATTTTTCTCACATAAATATTGAATTATTTTTTTTTCATTTAAAGTATTTACCATTATAGACGTTACGAACCATTTTTTATAAATTCTTTTCTCAGCAAAATTTAACATACAACTTCTCCTTAAATTGTAATTTCTTTATGTTGTAATCTCAAAGTCCTTTACACATTTTGTAAATAAAAGAAGAGTGTGTCGATGTTTTTCTACAAAAAATGTATTATTATGATATAAGCCAACTCACATACATTGTTGCAGGATAAACCGCAGATTAAAATACTTTTTTATTTTTAAAAACAAGCAAGCCGATTTGTGTGATTAAGAATAAATGTCAATCACTGAAGGCTATTTTTTTTTTCTTCAGAAGAACAATAGCTATGGTTTTTTTTAGACTAAGGACTGATTAAACCTCCACCATAAGTTGGAGTTAATATTAAATTTATCGTTCGATACAAGTTCGAAATATTATTCAACCCTTCCTCAGCATACGAATCAATCACATTAACACAATGGGGGAATCTTCTCTGCCTTCTTGTCCGGATTGCAGGACAAAGTGTCCTTAAGAATGGTTTTTTATATGTTGTCCACGTTTTCCAACCTGAGTGTCGTTAGTATGGTGTTGTTTTCTCCTGGCCTAGCCAATATAAAAGTTCCGATCGGTTCTAGGTGTTTGGAACTGTTTAACTCATGGTAGAGGGTATACAAATTTCATCTCCAACAACTTTTAAACAATGAATATTACTCAGTAATAAGAGTCGGATTTTACTACAGAAAAAAATCTTTCTGCCAAAATCAGGTTGATTTTAAATAGAATAATAATTCTATAGGAAAAGAAAAATTAAAATCAGAAAGTGTGGTTTTCAATCATTAGAGATTTGATCTATGAAAGAATAATACCTACATACAAAAAATATTCTTTAAAAAATCAACGCCTAATAAGATGCTGGATCAATATTCATTAAAAAATCGATACCTGAAGAGGTGCCTGAAAAATATTATTTAAACCATCTACACAACTACCACTGAACTCTAACTTTCTCTGATGTTTATTTAGGGTCAACAGCATATACATATTTTCCCAATATTACTAATATTCAGTATAGCGCTTCTATACTTTTCCAGATTCCCTTCACCGTGGGTTGTGATGTGATGTTCGGCTTATAATTGTCACCTATATATCGACTACAAAAACACAAAAAAAAAAAATAAGTTTTCGGTCCACTCCATCCCAAATTTTAATCTGAACATCACCGAAAATTATAGGCTTTGTTTTTGACCACACCTGGAATTTCATGTAACTCCCACATCAACTTCTCGGGTCTATGTTCATCAGGGGTAACTCTGTACGCTATAGAATACAAATTTTGTCATATTTCACACAAAAGTCAGGGTCTATTTGACCAGCTAAATAATGACCGAAAATCGAAATTTTAAATGGAGAAGGGGATCGGGCCAAAGAAGAGGCATGCCTGTTTTGATAAAGATTAACAGACATGCCTCTTCTTTGGCCCGATCCCCTTCTCCATGTAAAATTTCGATTTTCGGGCTATAATTGCGGTCTCTGGATGGACCAGAAAATCAGACAAAAATAAGGTTTTTGGTCCATTTCATCCCCCAAATATTAACCAATCTTCACCAAAAACAATAGGGGTATTCATTGGCCAGAACCCATCCTATATGCAAAATTTCGTGAAGATTGGTCTATAACCGTGGCCTGTATCGTGTTTACAAATTATAATGGACATACGGACACACATGTCTAAATCGACTCAGCTAAGTCGAGATATGACGATTGGTATACTTAAAGGTGGGTCTAAGACCAAAGACATAAAGGTGGGCGTTACAAACTTTTGGGGCTGCACAAAGCCATAATACACTGACAAAATAGTTGTGTAGGTTATAAAAATCTACTACTATAAAGATGCCTGAAAAATATAAAAAGTTTTTTCAACTAAAAACTCATTTATTTACACAAGAGACCCCGAGCTAGAAATTCACTTTATTTATTATAAGAAAATCCATGTTCGCTATGTGAATAGTGAAGAAGTCGAATATACTTGTTATCGGCCTAAAAGTATACACCACACATTGCTAAAAGATTGAAATTTACAATTAGCCAATATGCTGTCACAATATTGCCAAAGTGTGTTATATTTAACTTGTGATATAATCATATGATATCATTGTGCGCCTAAAAGTATGCACCACACATTAAAATTTGTTAATAAATATGAAGATATTCACAAAAAATGGATCTCTGTCATCCAGAAGCATTCAGAAAATAATTACTTTTTTTTATTTTCATTCACATGGCTCCATAAATGTGGGCTGTTTATAGAAAAGAGCGAATAATTAAACGTATGGACTCTCATGGCATGTCAAGGAAATCTATAAAAATACTCTTAGATTGATTCATATTTTAACTGTCATGGATTTGAAAATTTTTCATTGTCACTATTGGAAAAATAGTCAGGGCTGGTTTTAATTGACGGCAATGTATTTTATTGAATTAAAAGAATATATTGATTATAGTTTTTTTTCTCATTTCAGCATTTCTAAAGACCGAAAATTATCATAGCGGAGCAAACCAAAAAAGTATTGTTTCCATTAACGAATTTTCCACACTTCTTTCTATTATAATGCGCCTAAAAGCACACACCACACATTAAATTTAACAATAAATTAATTTGTACAAAAATAACGTAATTATATATTTTTCTCATTTCAGGCTCACTGAAGACCGAAAAGTTATGTTGCGGATCAAACAAAAAAAGTCTGGTTTCCATTAACGAATTTTAAAATATATATCGTATATAATGCTCCTAAAAGTATGCATCACACAATAAAAACAAATTTAATAAATATAAAAGTAATTCCCAAGCTTTGCAAAAAATAAATTCCTAACACTTACCGCTGACGTCTCATGGCACTCAAGGAATCTAATTTCCTTTGACGAAATGCCGTCTTCCTTTGCATACCAATTGAGGAGCGGCGAAATTGTCGCGTCAACAAATCATTTGAATTCGTTGCATACAGCGCAGCCGGAGATGGCGAGGGTGATTTAGTATTGCTACGACGTTCAATTTCGGAATCTGAATGCAAGGCAGGTGGTGTGGCTGGTGAATAATCATCACTGAATACCGAATCACATGTAGTATTGCCATTGTCATCAGATGTTTCCAAGGGATTGGTATGATGATTATGGTGATGGCCATGACGATGGTGGTGGTGGTGATGATGATGATGGTGCCGGTGATGATGATGATGCTGACAGTTGTGCCTTTTCTGCTGCTCCTCGTTACTATTGTTATGTTGTTCTTTTGGCTGATCGGCAATGTCACTGTCTTCATAGCTGGAGAGGCCATCCTCATCGGTTTCATCCTGCATACACAGCAATAAATTGTCCAGATTAAAAATATCGGAATGACTAT